AATGGAATGTAAAAGTATAAAAAATAATCATGGAAAATAAAAGAATTAGGCTATACAATTCTGACTCAGAGGCGGATCCAGCTATTTTTAAAAGGGTGTTCCGACCCAGGATAAAGGGGGGTCCAACCATATGTCCCCATTAAAAAGCATTAATGGTAAAAAAGGGGGGGCCTAACCCCCACCCCCCCCCCCTCCCCCTGGATCCGCCACTGTGACAGTCACTACAGAAATAAACACCATACAGAATAAATAAATCATATATATAATTTTACAGAATAAGCATAATTTTTAAAGATAGGAAAACACCCCTCAAAAAATGAGATGTAGGTATACGACAATAAAACAACAACTTAGCAACAAAGACCAACAAAAGATATAGATCATGTCTATAGAGGAACATACAGCATTCAACAATATACAGAACTGGTGTCTAAACAATATGTCAAACTTTAAATTAAAGAGGCCCCTCTTAAGGGTGTCCAAGTAATCACATAATCACAATTTTTTTGCAAATATAATCACATAATCATTAATTATTTTTTTAAACAAGATAATCAAATAATCAAAAATACAGTCCTAGAATAATCATGAAATATTTGGTTAGGTAATCAAATAATCACTATAAAAACGGCCGAGTAATCACATAATCAAAATCCCCATGAGGAGGCTCATTAAAGCTAAGGAAATATTTACAGGAACAATCAAAACTTTAACATCAACACTTAATTCTCTAAATAACAAAACATTCAACAGAAATAATATACAACGACTACTAACAAGGTTCATGACTTTAGACATGCGCAAGTAAATGTGGCGGGGTTGAATCAGCTTTTTGATATCTCAACTCTCTTCATTCTTTTTAAAACTTGATCAGTAGATTATAGATCTTATTTAAAGAGCATACAATAGATACAAGTATATAGGAAAGCACTCAACTCTAAAATATCGGTATGATAAATAAGAAAACTCCGAAACAGTGGTTATGTCTTCCTTGCTTCGCTACGTTGACGCTGTTTCGGAGTTAGAAAGATAACAAAACACATAATAAAGCACAAAACAATATTATCCACTTATATATTTGATACTGTATCAACTTACTTAATTTGTCAAATAGGTGACTTAGGCCAAAAATAAAATATAAATTATTTGATGTTGCCTAACTACCCACCTGAAAAGTAGCCTACCAGAAAAAAATAATGACACAAATTGTTTCAAAATTATTTTTTTTAAATTTGTTTTCCTGCACTAACGTAGTTTTCTTGTCTAAAACATGTAACTCATGTTGTTGGTAAAAAAAAAATAAAAATTCCTACCTCCCTACCCAACCCTACAAGGCATGGGTAGGTAACATAAAAAAAAATTCTTAAGGTGGTACCAAACACCTTGAATAAAATTAATTTGGCTCGTTTAATTTTCATAAAATTTTGCAAAATGTTTACTTTGACCCTTTGACAAAAATATAAAAATTTCAAAAAGCTTGAACCACATACTTTATCGGAAAAATTTCATTGGATATATAGCAGTTTGACAAACGCTTATTTTTGATCATTGAGAAGCTTAATATTTCCTTAACAATAGAACCTGATTAAAACGTTTAGCCGATTTTTACAGAGTTATCTCCCTGTAGTGTTATGTACCATCTGAATGATGTCTAACGGACAGGGTGCAACATTGACTACACACACTTTGTAATTGTGTTAGTTTTGTTGATACATGTTCACAAGTCACTATAATAAACAAATCACTTACTTAATTACTTTATATAATAATTACTGGAAGCAAATTCAAAGTAATATACCTACTGAAATGAAATCAAACCGTTCCGCACTTATTATTGGTTGTTGAACTTCATATATGATTTTATACCCCAAGGTCAACATTTATTTAACAGTTTGATTATTTCGTCACTTGATTCTTGGTGTTTATGCCTCTGCAGACCAGAATGGTTATGCCAAAACGATGAACATGAAATGGATGATATGAAATGAAAAGAGGAGCTGAAATGGACATAAAATTGGAACAAACTGCAAATACACAGAGAGGGAGGCACGGTAGTAATAATTAGTCTCAACACCGTCTACAAAAGAGCCTTCCATACGAAATGGATGAGTCTATCTCATACAGGAACGTAGCACTTTCTCATCACTTAATGCTTGCACCTTTTGTCGAGTCGTACTCTTAGTCGGAGAAAGTGGGTTTAATTCATATGCCCAGGGACCCCAGAATGGGCATGTTTTCTAAATTTTGCTGGACTACGTGTTCCAACACCAAACATTATGCTTATTTTGGTCCAACCCTTCTTTGTTTTTTTCCCTAAATGCCTTTACCTTCTACAAGCAGTAAATACCAATTTTCAACTCTTTCAATCTAGGACTTGTATATTAATAAGGGTTAGTGTAATAGTCCCAGTTTGGATTGATCTCGAGCTTGCCAGGGATCAAACCTAAGTCTAAGAAGAGATCTTTACTAGATCCTGCTAATGAATAATGCAAGGCTTAATGAAATAAAATATAATATTTTATAATTGTTCCCAAACATTTTTTTTCTAAAGTCTATCGTTCAGCATAACAAGTTGAATTTGCTTGATTTTGAAGGACTTATAGTGCACGTTTACCTCAACATGTGGACAAAAGTTTTTAAAAAAATCGCTTACTCAATCGAAAATTATCTTAAAATCCGTTTTTTTTTTTTCTTTCAAATTATAGTTATAGAGACGTTCATATACAATGTCAAGTCTAAAATGTCCCAAGATGTAAAAAAAAAGATGTTAACATTTGAAACAGAAACTATTAAAGCTATGCCATCAACGCTAAATTCTACAAATAACAAAACAAGATAAAGATCTTACATAAGACCACATTGTACAGCCTCACTTGAATATATGAGGGTGTGGATCGGTTTTTTCATCATTTCTGTATTCTTAACTTTTTTATGCCATTTTTCGCTATTCTTTATGAATTTTACTTGTTATTCTCTATTCTTCATTTTTTTAACCTATTTTTCTCTATTCTTTATTTTTCTTGCGCTTTATTCTGCACATTGTGCCCATTATTGTCTATTCTGTAAACCCTATCCACACCCTCATATTTGATGGGATGAAAGCAGATGTTTAGATCTTCCCCTTTTTACCGATTCAGTTGAAAAGCGAAGGGTACATGAAACATGTCAAAATCTGATCAGCCTTGTCGAAGAAAGGTGCAACTTTAGGGGCAGACAAAAAAAACCTGAATATCTGTGTTTGATTGATTGATTGATTGATTGATTGGTGTTTAACGCCACTTTCAGCACTATTGGCTTTTTCGTGGCGGTCAGTTTTATTGGTAGACCTTCGGCAGGAAAACTAACAATCCTAGTCAATTTAGATTGGAATCGAGAATACCTGCCACGTGCGTGGATCGAAATCAAAACCACAGTGTTGACAGGCTAGTGATCCAGTAGTTGGACCACTTAGACTACTAGGCCACCGAGACCCTCAGATTGTGTGTGTCATTAGTGTTTCGTCTTGAAGCGAAATAAAGTTGATAGGTAAGGTATATTTTCTATTGTGGTAATTTGTTTTACCTTGTGTATTTTAGCACTAGTACATTGGACAGACCTGATACTTTATCAATATTCACTACAAGAAAGCAAATATTAAATTTCGATAGTCAATTCGAGACCTAATATGAGGCTTATAGGGAAATTCTAAACACAAATGTTTTTTTTTATCTTGTCTTTCTGTTCGGACACCGAATTTAACTTGATGATGTTTCTCCAATCAGTTGAACCTATGGACCAGGATAGCTACAACACGGGTATAATATAGTAGAATATATATATATATATATATATATATAAAAAGTCTAAATTGAAAACAACGTTCAAACCTATGATTGCGTTGGATAAAAACCGTAATTTTTATACGTGTGCATGCAAAACAAATCTCTTGGTAGAGGGGTCTAAATACAGCACAAACAACATTTCCCAAAAGACCAAAAAATGTGAAAAAGTATATTTTAACAAAACGCATTTGACTAGCAGGTCGAACAACTGATGTTCTTAAACCCTGCTGACTGCCATTGGCGATTGCCAAATAAACGGATCACAAGATGTAACAAAATATATATATATATATATATATATATATATATATATATATATATATATATATATATATATATATATACAAGTCTTAATTGAAAACAACGTTCAAACCTATGATTGCGTTGGATAAAAACCGCAATTTTTATACGTGTGCATGTAAACAAATTCCTTGGTAGAGAGGTCTAAATACAGCACAAACAACATTTTCCAAAAGACCAAAAAGTGAAAAGTATATTTTAGCAAATTGCAATTGGCTAATATAAGTCTAAATTGTAAACAACGTCCAAACCTATGATTGCATTGGATAATCAAAGTACTGAAGTACTGAACATCGGATGACCGCAGGTTCTTGTGGATAATCAAAAGCACATGTCACAGAAATAGATCACATCTCTCTACCTGAAACCGAGGTTAATTTACAGAGATATATTTTTTTTCTGATACAAGTTCGTGCATGGATGATGAATAAATGACAGGAAATTCAACCGCACCGTAATAACTATTATATTGTAGTGATACAAATCAGTATACCTGGGACTATTATACTAATATAATAATAGTCCCAGAGTATACACTGGTTTGTTGTTATATATTATATTAATATTACGGTTGCATGTATATATAATTTTCATCTATTTGTATATCATTCTATTCTACTATTCTAATTATAGTGCAGTGCAAGTGCATGGTGGACACTCTTCTGTAAAAAAATCGATTTTTCTAAAAGATTGGATATGAGAAGCCATTCATATTTTCCCGCAAAACAATAACAGAGTTATCGGCCCTTGCCGGGAGTGTCGCAAAACGTTCTTGAGATATTCTTACGTAAGCTTTAACACAATTTTTCGGTACGTGTGCATAGATATCATCAATGATTTTTTACTTTTATATATATAACTAACGACAACACATTTTCATATTATTAATTTGTGTTTTAATAAAAATATTTATAGGAGTATCCATTGAAAAAATGAATTTGAAACAAGCGATAAGTAATGTTATTTTGCACTAGATAATGACCGCGGATCTATAATTTTTATAGATCGGTTGAAAACCCAAAACTAATTTGCATAATGGAAATTTAGGCGATAGCAATACATCGAAATGACCTCACGGTCATCGCGATGTAAAAACCGCAATTTTTATACGTGTGCATGCAAAACAAATTTCTTGGTAGAGGGGTCTAAATACAGCGCAAACAACATTTTCCCAAAGACCAAAAAAGTGAAAAAGTATATTTAAACAAAACGCATATGACTAACAGGTCAAACAACTGATGTTCTTAAACCCTGCTGACTGCCATGGCGATTGCCAAATAAACGTATCACAAGATGTAACAAAATGGATCTTAATTATTAATTTAATACCAAATAGAAAACAATAAACTTACGGAAAAGATGGTATACCGCAAACACGAGGTGCAAAAATTTGTACACCATATCCGGATTTCGACAATTAATGTCTCTTCAGTGATGTTAGGAATCTAAACAGTATTTGGAAGGCCATATAATTTACCTCAATTTAGGATAGACTCTTGAATTTTGAAGAGTCCAAATAGGATGAACAGATCATATAAACCCGAAGGAAAATATAATACAAGCCCAAACGAAAAAATATAAACAAGTCTAAATTGAAAACAACGTTCAAACCTATGATTGCGTTGGATAAAAACCTCATTTTTTATTCGTGTGCATGCAAAACAAATTTCTTGATAGAGGGGTCTAAATACAGCACAAACAACATTTTCCAAAAGACCAAAAAAGTGAAAAAGTATACATTTTTTGTATTTTAACAAAACGCATTTAACTAACAGGTCGAACAACTGATGTTCTTAAACCATGCTTGACTGCCATGGCGATTGCCAAATAAACGTATCACAAGATGTAACAAAATGGATCTTAATTATTAATTTAATACCAAACAGAAAACAATAAACTTGCGGAAAATATATATGTTGTTACTATTATAAAGTATTACAAAATACATAGCTATGACAATTTAATAACAATATAATAAAAGTAAATATAAATAATAAAAATGTTCAAAAAACATCAGTTATTTATTTTCATTTCTGTTGTCTGCTTTATCTGGCATGGACCAATTTAGAAATGTATGTTCCATCCTCGTAAATTAGGTTGTGCATTCTCAGTGCGTCGTTAAGGACGTCTAAACTAATCAAATTGTTCAAAACAGAAACGTAACAATGATCAAAAACAAATTCAGATTGGTCCATTGATCTCCAGAAAAGTTACGTGGTATGCCAACATCCTATCAACACGTATAGTCTGTAAAGTATAATGATTGACAAGAATGATGTATACAATTTATTTATAATAATAATAAGATGTGATATAATTGCCAATGAGACAACGCTTCACCAGAGACCAAATGACATACAACTTAACAACTATATGTCACCGTAAGGCCTTCAACAATGAGCTAAACCCATACCGCATAGTCAGCTATAAAAGGCCTCAAAATGACAAATGTAAAACAATTCAAACGAGAAAACAAACGGCTTGACTTATGTACAAAATAATAAACGAAACTCATATATGATATATGATATATGATATACAGCAACAAACAACAACCACTGAATGTCTTTGAACCACCTTGGTCTCGTGGTAGCTGTATCAAATATCAAATTTTGATGACAACCTACAACAGGAAGAAGCTTCTCAAAATTTGTGATTTTTTAAAATAAAATAAGTTTTTACTAATTTTATGTTTATTTTTCAACACTTTAAAATAACTTAATACACCTAGTATATATTAGTTTTTGTTAAAAGCCTATTATGAGAAGACATTTCTCAAAATTTGTGATTATTTAACCCCCCTCCCCCCCTCCGGATCCCCCCAAATTGATGAGCCGAATTTCACCAAAATATAATATGCACATCTACATATTATACACAACTGCAAAAATTACTTAAGGATATGAGACTGTAATCATTTGCAAATATAAAATAAGTTAAAGCTATGAGTGAATTAGTTTGGATAAAATCTTTAAAAAAATGATATTATACAAATAAAACGCCTGCCACAAATGTGTAAGGATATGACCATTTGATATTCTGCGGTTGGGGGCAGTAGGTTTTTTTGCGGATTGACTGTTCATTTTCAACTATCGCTAAGAAAATTTATTAACACTTTTGTACACTGTTATTTCCTGCATTTTGTGTTACAGAATATTCATGTTCATCTTGGGCAAAGTTATCTATTTTCAGCTCTTACCAGGCAAGGATATTAATTTTCAAAATCATCCTGCCTCCCTCCCCAATCCCACACAAGAAAATTAGACAGTTGGTTGTCCCCAATACATTAAATTTACCAAAAATAGTGTATAGTACATCAGACCACACCAACACACGACAAATGACGTACAAATACAAACAACAACTAACAACCCGTGGACCAGGAAACCTGACTTATTACGGGTAAAAAATGTTGTGGGGTATAACCAGTTTTACTTGCCCATAAACCTCATCTTCAGCCATTCGAGACCATATATATAGAAATAAGGAGATGTGGTATGATTGCCAATGAGACAACTATCCACCAAAGTTCAAATGAAGTGGATGTGATCAATTATAGGCAACCGTACGGCTTTCAACAATGAGAAAAAAACATGGCGTACAGTCGGCTATAAAAGGCCCCGACATGAAAAATATGAAACAGTTCAATTCATATGTCGTAAAGGTAAAACTCACAATAAAAGAACCTGTACAGTACAGCAACCAACTAAATTAGATGAGCACTAACTTAAACAAGTCAAACAAGAGAAAAAACGGCACAAAATTTGAAAAAGCAGGGTCAAATAATGCTTGTTACAACTGGAAAAAAGATAAGGTGGACACAGCTATGAGTTACACTGCCGCTCAAACAAACACACAGAGCTAAAGCAACACTTTTAAATTGATTGATTGATTGATTGATTGATTGATTGATTGATTGATTGATTGATTGGTGTTTAACGCCACTTTCAGCACTATTGTGCTATTTCATGGCGGTCAGTTTAATTGGTGGAGGAAGCGGAGTGCCTGGAGAGAACCATCGACCTTCGGTAGGAAAACTGACAATCCTAGTCAATTAAGAATTGAGTCGAGCGCACCTGCAACTTGCGGGTGTCGAACTCACAACCTCAGTGTTGACAGGCCAGTAATATAGTAGTTCGACTACTTTTTTCTTCTTGAATAAAATTTATTTCACATATTATGATCCACAATATTCTACAATCTATTATGAAAAACATACAGTCCTTTATATTATCATGATATCTCATTTACACAACTTACATTCAGCACATTCTACCATTATTTACTTAAATTTTACACAAAATACAAAAAGAAAAGATTGGTTATATGGAAATGTCAAAAACAGCTCGACTTCTTAGACCACTAGGTGTTATTAATAGTTGAGGTTTAAAACGTCAAATTAATTCAAAATGTGTATGACGTCATGGTGACATCACAACTGATATTTAGTGTCCGGAATATAACATCCTATTTATTAATACACAATGCTTCAACCCACTTTTTCCATGTTCAGTGAACTGCTAAATGTTGATCAAAACCCTATATATTTTTGAATAAGAGTGGACACGCGGAAATGTCTCGCCTGCTTTACTACCATTGATTTTATATTGATAGTCCTATATATATAAAGTTTTACTACAAGTATCACATTAACTTAACATGGTCCAAGAAAATGAGGTCAAGGTTAGATAAACCGAGCCAGAAATACATGTACACCTTACAATCATTCCATACATTAATATAGTTGACTTATTGCTTATAGTATACAAAAACAGACCAAACCAGTAAAACTTAACATTGACCAATGAATGACCATGAAAATGAAGTCAAGGTCAAATGATACCTGCCAGACAGACAAATAATCCTAACAATCATTCCATAAACCAAATATAGTTGACCTATTGCTAATAGTTTAAGAAAAACAGATCAAAACACAAAAGCTTATCATTGAGCAATGAACCATGAAAATGAGGTCAAGGTCAAATAAAACCTGCCAGACTAACATGTACATAGTAAAATATAAACCGAATATAGCTGACCTATTGCATACAGTATTAGAAAAACACACCAAAACACAAAAAATGAACTTTAACCACTGAACCGTGAAAATGAGGTCAAGGTGAGATGACACCTACCAGTTGGACATGTACACCTTACAATCATTCCACACACCAAATATAGTCGACCTATTGCTTATAGTATCTGAGATATGGACTTGACCACGAAAACTTAACCTTGTTCACTGATCCATGAAATGAGGTCGAGGTCAAGTGAAAACTGTCTGACAGGCATGAGGACCGTGCAAGGTATGCACATACCAAATATAGTTATCCTATTACTCATATTAAGAGAGAAATTAACATTACAAACAATTTTAACTTTTATTCAAGTAGTCACTGAACCATGAAAATGAGGTCAAGGACAAAGGACATATGACAGACGGAAACTTCATAACATAAGGCATCTATATACAGAGTATGAAGCATCCAGGTCTTCTACCTTCTGAAATATTAAGCTTTTAAGTAGTTACTTAATGCCGCCGTGGCCGCCGGAACACTATCCCTAAGTCGAGCTTTCTGTGACATTAGTCGCTGGCTCGACAAAAATGCGCATTAAGATAGCTGGGATGTCTTCCTCCATCTTGGATCTAGAAACAGCAGATAACAATTGGTCTAGATCTTTAATGAAATGTGCAAATTTAGACCATAGTAGCATGTTATTCATGTGTAAGACTTTTCATGTTAATTTGGAAAATTATGTGTTTCATCATATTTTACGACTGTATTTTTGTTTGATTATTTTTTTCAACCTTGCCTTATAAGGGGAGATAACTCAGATAAAGTAACTTTTATAATAGAATGTGTTGTGAATTTACCTATTTTATAATGTAGCCCGAAAACGTGTCCGATGACCCCATTTTTGTATTTCTTATATTATAAAAGCATATGATTAGAGCTATCTTCTCATAGTCTTTCTTAAAATTCTATGGTGTAGTTTTCTTTATATCACACAAAGTTGGGTTTTCCATGCATAATCTATACAAAATATGACAATTTTGCTCAACCTGTAGCGTGAAAAAAGCCTGATGACCCATACTTTTTATTATACTTTTGAAAAAAGCATTATATAAACTACATTTTGACAAATTATTAAAAAAAAATCTATGGATTATAATTTAGACAACCTATCTACCTCAACAAAACTTTACACATTACAGGCGGATTAGACAGACGAACACACAGACGAGAAAACATGATAGGCCCTCTACTATAGTCTAGCGTTGCATAAAATACTTACAGGTGCATAACGATTGCCAATTATTGTTATCCCAGCAAAAATAACATTGACATATATATGTGGATCCCTGCACAACACAATAGCCATTGTTACACGAAGAAACTCCATAACATGGGTCACCTACAAATAATAATAACATTACATGGATGCTTCATATTGATTCCATCACATCAACAGCAAACAATCACCTGTTTTATATTGATTCCATCAAGTCAGCAGAAAACAATCACGTCTTTCATACTGATTCCATCATATCATCAGAAAACAATCACGTGTTTTATATTGATTCTATCATATCAGCAGAAAACAATCACGTGTTTCATATTGATTCCATCATATCAGCAGAAAACAATCACGTTTTTATATTGATTCCATCATATCAGCAGAAAACAATCACGTGCTTTATATTGATTCCATCATATCAGCAGAAAACAATCACGTGTTTCATATTGATTCCATCATATCAGCAGAAAACAATCACGTGGTTTCATATTGATTCCATCAAGTCAGCTGAAAACAATTACGTGTTTCATATTGAATTAAAATGCGATTGCAAGAATGGAATACTTCTGTTTTTTTTGTAGTTTTATAAGGTTATTAAAAGTTTACATTGCGATTCAAGAAGTAGATCCAGGGACCAGGGTTCAAGGGGAAAAGGGGCGTAACTGTCAACAATGGTAAAAATAGAGCAAGTAAGGCGATGTTTTTACTTCTTGATGCCTAGCAATGCATAAAAAGGGGAGGAGGTTGTACTGAAAAGAGTTAACACCACACCTGCGTAAGTGATCATTACTATTTTTACTACCGGTACATGATGTTTTAATATGTTAGGGAACAACCATTTAACTTCAAACGGGGGGAGGGTTATGGTTTTTTTTTTCTGAGTCACAAATTTTTTTTCGCGCAAATTAGTTTTTCGACGCTATCAACCAAATTATTTTTTTTTTCAAAATTTAACACTATAAAGTATGGGGAAAATCTGGATTCAGAATATTTTTATCAAACTGAGGATCCGAATATTTTTTTTAGGAAAAAACCATAACCCCCAGACCCGGGTGGGACAAAAACATGATCTTAGCACGATATGGTACAAGTGGTTTTATTGGTTGCTAAAAATAACATCTAAAGCCAGTCATGAGATCTGTTGAAATAACCTTATTACGATTTAATTGTTTTCCGTTTATGCATAATACGTGTATATTGATTTGGTTGGTTTCGTATCGTCTTTCCGTTGTCTTTCGTTTAGTGCCACATGGTATTGTCAGTTTCTCTATGATTTTTAAGTTTTAAATCTTGGTATCTTCAGTCTATAAGTTGTAGTACTGTGATAAGTCGTTTATTAACCGACTTCACGGCGCTTTATTTTCGCGATTATCAATTTTCTCAATGTATCGTTTTAAGGAAATATCCAAGTTTTACAAACTCGCGAAGAGTTTTATTCGTGTTCATGTTTATCTCGCGAAAGTCGCGTAAATTAGTTGATTTACATTACTTTGTAATGTGATTAGATAGTACAAGCCCTGTACCATATAGGTTATCAAATACATCTTATCCTTTGGTCTCTGGTGGGTAGGAGTCTTTTCATGGCAATCATACTACATCTCCTCATTTTCATTTGTTTTGAAACACTCGTATGTCTCAACTGCTGTATTATTTCAATCCTTAAAACCTCTATAAACTCTCAAACAAGGGCCGATAAAGAAAACAAAAAAAAACTGCAATACTCCAATGAATAAACGTACCAAGTATTGTTTATCTATCAACATAAAAAACATGATTTATAGACCGATCTGATCTATATATGAGATAATCTCCTTTTGTGAAAAAATGTAAGATACTGAACATGAGTACTACAACAAGTGTAGACCCGGTACCTTCTATCGTTTGCTACTCTGTTTGAAAAATAACAAGCTTTTTGAAAGACTGTTATAAATCTATAGTATATAAATAAAGGAACAAAAAAGCAGAAAAAAATGAAGGGTCTGTATGCTTGTTTTCGAGATATAAGCCATTGAAAATTTGGCGGGAAATGTTTCTCTCTAGATTTTTCATATATTTAACATTGGCACCTTTTTTTCTTTCAAAAACTATGAAAAAATTACAAGGATTATATAAAATTTTCAAAACTGGCTTTTTAAACAATATGTTATAAAATTATGAATTATAGAAAAATAAGTGTTAGCGGGCAAAATTGTTATTGGCACTACATGGATAAAACTAGAGGATTCCGAATATCTGACAAAATGTCAAAAACAAGAGTAGCGAACATCCTTAATAAGCATAACGTTACATCTTAACTTACGTTCACAGTTAGTTCCAGTATAACCGGTGTGGCACTGGCAACGCCAAGTAGATCTATCAATTTTACATGATCCATGATAGTTACAGTTCACATTGGTGCATGGAGTATCTGTTGGAGAAAACCCACTTATCATAAATCATACTCTAAATTATTTGAAGTTTCTGTTAACACAAAACCACAATTGTAAAAGATACAAAACAGCTTTAAAATTCTAAGAACGAAAGAGGAAAAGGCAATACGTGAACCCCCCGCAGAGCGTCACAAGCTTTCATTATGTCTACTTATAAACCGAGTGAAATCATTTCAGTAGGAAGATACAAGGGGTTGTTCTAATGCAATTTGTCATGTTACGACAATTCTGATTGGATGACGTCTACCAATTCAACGGTTGACAGTAGGCGTCATTGGCATTGGCAACAACGGTTGCGCAATCACAATCGACGTTTACAGGATATTTGAAATGTTTAATTTTGAACATTTTAAGAGTATTGCATTAGAATAGGATAACAATACTGTATTTGAAGAGTTGTCACCGTCAATTTTGGATTTTACGATGGCAACTCTTCAAAGACAGTACTGTTATTCCTTAATTGAAAAAGGTAAGTTGGTAGGTAAAATAATTGCATTGACTTTTAAGGGAAATGACCTGGACTTAAATGGTGCTTACCCAAAAATGTCCATAAAATGTGTATATATTATGAACGTAATTGGCTCGGTTATAGAATTTTAAAGGAGGAAATTCTTGGCATGTAAACATCAAATTTTATTTATTTCAAAATGTATGATACATATGGCGCGGAATCAAGGTCATAATTATTAATTTAAGCATATGCTTAATTCATTTCAGCATGTGGTTAATTCATTTAAGCTTATGTTTAATTCATTTCAGCTTTTGGTAAATTCATTTTAGCATATTCGTAATTCATTTTAGCATATGGTAAATTCATTTCAGCATATGGTAAATTCATTTTAGCATATATGCTTAATTCATTTCAGTATATGATAAGTTCATTTTCGCATAAACTTAATTCATTTCAGCATATGCTTAATTCATTTCAGCATATGGAAAATTCATTTAGCGTATGCTTCATTCATTTCAGCATATGGTAAATTCATTTTAGCATATGCTTAATTCATTTCAGCATATGGTAAATTCACATTAGCATATGCTTATTTCAATATTTATGACCTTGATTCCGCGTCAATATTTCTGTAGATGCGGAATAGTTCAGCATAATTTGTATGCTTAATTGAATTTATGCTGAGATGAATTAAGCATATGCTGAAATGAATTTAGCATATACATGTATGTTGAAATACATTTGGTAGGGAGGCCGACATTTCTGTTTTGGCCTACAACTGATACTATTTGAAGAGCTCTTTAAATATATATATATTGATTGCAATTGCTTGTTTGGGTTTTTTAACGTCTTTTTCAGCAATCAGTTTTTATTGGTGGAAGAACCCGAAGAACCCGGTAGAAAACAAAGTCATTGTCAATTAAGATCGGAGTTGAACACCCCTCGCCACGAGCGCGGTTCGAACTAAAAACTTCGCAATTATGAAGTTATAGTTCACTGTAAACGAACTTCTTAGTCTTCTTGGCTACTGAGACCCTTCTTTATGTGATAACTTTTTATCATATATAAAAATATGAAGATGTTGTATGATTGCCAATGAGACAACTCTCAACCATAGACCAAATGACATAGAAGTTAACAACTATAGGTCACCATACGGCCTTCAACAATGAGCAAAACCCATACCTCTTAGTCAGCTATAAAAGGCCATGAAATGACAAATGTAAAACAATGCAAACGAGACAATCAACGGCCTGATTCATTTTCAAAATAATGAACGAAAAACAAATATGATATACAGCAACAAACGACAACCACTGAATTACAGGCTCCTGCCTTGGGACAGGCACACACAGAATGTGGCGGGATTAAAATAGTTTGCTGATTCGAGCCAAACCCTACCCCTAGCTTGGGACAGTAGTGAAACAGTACAACACAAGAACAAACTATAAAAATATGTTCAAAAGGGCGTAACTCATCAGATCGAAACAAAGCAGAAAAACATCTAACAAAAACAAAAAACAGACCGGACGTTGCAGGGTATTTATACATCCCCACAACAAAAAAAGACACTAAGTACAGATCTGAGAGTACTCGCAGTTACTGGCTGCTAGTTCAAATTACAACCAATATAAATTTGAAATGTAAAAATGACTCAGCTGCATTATTTGTTTTCCAAAATGTCGAGAAACACTTTATTTTGAAATAAAAAATATTCGCTAGCGCATTTACATTTTCTACAAATGCATTTACATATTTGATATTGTTTATCGGTCAAAGTTATTATTGATGACTGTTCTAGATCTTATTCAGAATTGATAAGTGATATATTTTACAAAACCTGTAAAAAAAACCTTGAAGCTTATAGTCTATTCATAGTATAACCATGTGTCAAATATGTTACTTTCCGACTTTGAATTAATTTGGAAGTTCTATTTTAAACATGTATAACAGTTATAATACATTTAGTCTTTATAAACAGTAAATAACATGACAGTTATATTGATTTTGTAACGCCACATGTGGAGCAGGATCTGCTTACCCTTCTAGAGCACCTAATATACCTCGGTTTTTGGTGGGGGTTGTGTTGCTCAGTCTTTAGTTTTCTATTTTGGGTTTTCGTCGACTGTTGTATTCTTTTGGGTTTTTTTTTCTCTTTGTCATGGCGTTGTCAGTTTACTTATGAGTTGGAATATTCCTTTGGTTTCTTCCGCCTCTCTTCCACAATGATCGACTCTAGTTACTATAGAATAAACTCCGATCGGGATCTCGTTTACTCCGATCGGGATCTCGTTCAGGCCAGTGTTAAAGAAGCTGTCAATTATTATGAAGGTGATAGGAGACAACTGAGAAATTACTTCAGTAGGGAGGTACACGCGAACGGGGTAATGTGGTTGATAAACACGCAATTTACAAAAAGTGTATGAGGTCTGGATGGGGTTTACAAAATAGAGAATATGGACAAAAAGTGCAGTGTAAATGGCTAAAAAAAATAAGGAATGTGTATGAAGACACAATTACCCCCGCTAAAGCTTCAAACAAACGAAAATGGGACGGACGGACGGTAAGACAGAAAGACAGAAAGACGGAAGGACGGACGGTCAAGGGTAATATTTGATGCCCCCATCGCCTACGGCGGGGGCATAAAAAATAAAGAATAGAGCATCAAAAATAAAGAATAGAGAATAATTGGGTGCTGAAATATAAAGAATAATGGGCAAATTAAATAGAGAATACATGTAGAGAAATATAGTCAAACAATTAAAGAATAAAGAAATGAATGACCTCTTCAAGACCCTCGTGTAACAACCAATGAGAATAATTTAAATAATAGATTTTAGTTTCAAGCAAAATACGTATGATATATAGATATAAGAAGATGTGGCATGAGTGCCAATGAGACAACTCTCAATCCAAGTCACAATTTGTAAAAGTAAACCATTATAGGTCAAAGTACGGCCTTCAACACGGAACCTTGGCTCACACCGAACATCAAGCTATAAAGGGCCCCAAGAATAACTAGTGTAAAACCATTCAAACAGGAAAACCAACGGTCTAATCTATATAAAAAACGAGAAACGAAAAACACTTATGAACCACATCAACAAACGACAACCACTGAACATCAGGTTTCTGACTTAGGACAGGTGCAAACAAATGCAGCGGGTTTGAACGTTTTTTTCTGGCGCCAACCTTCACCCTAACCTGAGACAGTGGTATACCAATACGACATAAAATGACAAACCATAAAACATGAATTGAAGGCTCAACTCATCAAATATGAATACTAACAGATTTTAGACAAAAGTTAGACCATGAAAACCAAATTACCAAAAAGTTAAATTATAAACCACAGAAAAATATATCAAAGCCAAAACCAGTATGAAATAATTTTGCCAAACAACCGGTCACTTATGGACCACTCAAAACGAGCTTGTTGAGAAGGATCTTTAACGTGCAAAGAGCGTGGTACTCCCTGAACACGGGACCTCGGATTTAACGTCCCCATCCGACATTGAATATTAAGAAATGTGTCAACCCGGTATCTTCTACCATTCTCAATGTCACCTAAATTTTCTCCCGTAATAAACTGTAATTGGTTCGACTAGTTCTGGAAAATCTTGGGATGTCAAACTGACCAAAACACACTTTTAGTGTTGAAAATCAGAAAAAAAAATTGGGTTTAACTGATTCGACCCCAAGATATTTTCTGGAAAATCAAACATATACAAATTATATGCAAATTAGAAATGACTCTTGATACTGTAACTGGTGCTGATCTGTTATATTAAACTACGTATTGAAAATTGGGGTTGATGGCATGGGGAGGGGGGGCGTAGTAGATTTTCGGGTGGGTTACCCACCCTAGCTAAAAAATAGTCTATTTTTCGCTTTAAATACGACCTTGAGAGGTGAACATTGACCAAACTGTGTTTCTTTGTCATTTAATTATTACATTGTAGTAACAGCAGTCTATCCATACTGATTGGAAGTAAATGTGACGAGTGTCTTGCTGGGGAATTGTAATGGTCAAGCCAGGTCTGCCTACATGTCCGTTTTTACAGATTTCTGACAAAACGGTGACCTAGTTTTTACAGACCAGATACTGTTTGGCCATATAATACATCCTAGTGTTCCTGGATAATAATTAATACGTACGGCCCATACCATTAATTTTATTAAATTATATATATTCAAATGACTCCCAACCCCATCTAATTTTGGCTATTTTTCACAAGTTCCGATTTTGTACTCCAAGAAGGGCATTAAGGTTGTCATATTTTCATAACAACACATCTGGAAATAGTTTATGGACCATGAGTTGCATGATTAAATTGCCTACTCTCAATACAGAGCTGGGGCAGTTCTAAAAAAGTATGGAGGGTTACATATATATATATATATATGGGCTATCAACGGATGGTGGTTGCAATCACTTCTTCTTTTTCCTGGTACGGGAAAGACTCCGGTACCGGAGTGTGGAATATCCCGGAACTGTGGCGCTATGTACATGCAAATGGATGTCGA